AGGCTCCCACCACAACGCCTAGCTATTTTTTGGTTGCAGCCGTCATTGATATTTTTGGTGGGCCCGGGCTGGATTCAAACCCGCTACCTTAGGTGTATGTGGCTGGTGCCTTAGCCACTTGAGCCACAGGTGCCGAGCCAGTCACTTAGTTTCTTGAGAACCAAGTTTCCTCATTTGTGAAGTGGTGACATTTCTTTTTTCTTTTTTCTTTTTTATTTGAGTAGTCTCACTCTGTGTCCTGGGTAGAGTGCCATGGCAACTCAGAGCAGCCTTAAACACATGGGCTTGAGCAATCTTCTTTCCTCAGCCTCCCCAGCTGCTGGGACTATAGTTATGCGCTATCATGCTTGGCTAGTTTTTCTATTTTTAGTAGAGGCGGGTCTCATTCTTGCTCAGGCTAGTCTTAAACTCCTGAGCTCAATCAGTCTACCTGTATCAGCCTCCCAGAGTCCTAGGATTACAGATGTGAGCGACCACACCTGGCCAGTGATGACATTTCTTGCCTTACCCATATCTTACAGTTTTTGGAAGAATCACACAGCATCCTATAGGGAATAGATATTAAGTAATCACTTGCTATGTCCTAAACACCAAACCAGGCATTGGGTGCAGAGTTTTTTACATATAGTAAAAAAGTAACAGGCTCGGTGCCTGTGCCTCAAGCAGCTAAGGCGCCAGCCACATACACCTGAGCTGGCGGGTTCAAATCCAGCCCGGGCCCACCAAACAACAATGACAGCTGTAACCAAAAAATAGCTGGGCGTTGTGGCAGGTACCTGTAGTCCCAGCTACTTGGGAGGCGGAGGCAGGAGAATCGCTTGAGCCCAGGAGTTGGAGGTTGCTGTGAGCTGTAAAGCCATAGCACTATACCCAGGGCAATAGTTTGAAGCTCTGTCTCCAAAAAAAAATTAACCAAAAATAGTTAATTACAAATTGTAATAAGTGCAATAAAGGAAATGAACAGGTATTGTTGGAATAGCAAGGGAGACCTGCTATAGATTGGGTGGCCAAGAAAGGTCCCTGTGAGGAAGTGATATCTGAGCTGGGACTTGAAAGATCAGAAGGAGCTAGGTTTGCAGAAATTGGGATAAGAGCTTTCTACATGTAAGCCAGGGTGTGTCCAGGCAACAAGGGAGGTGAAAGTTTGATATGTTCAAGGAACTGAAAGAGGGCCAGTGTGGCTGGGACATGGTCAGCCCAGGGGGTACGTGGTAGCAGACAAGACTGGAGAGGTGGCCACCTGGCATGCACAGCCAAAAGCTTGGATTTTATTATTTTATTTTATTTTATTTTTTGAGACAGAGTCTCAATATGCCACCTTCAGTAGTGCTATGGTGTCACAGCTCACAGCAACCTCCAACTCTTGGGCTTAAGCAATTCTCTTGCCTCAGACTCCCAAGTAGCTGGGACTATAGGCACCCACCACAACACCCAGCTTTTTTTTTGTTGTTGTTGCAGTTGCCATTGTTGTTTAGCAGGCCCGGGCCAGGTTTGAAACTGCCAGCCTCAGTGTATGTGGCCAACGCCACAACCACTGCAACAGGCACTGAGCCAAAAGTTTCAATTTTACTATGGCTGTCAGGCAGCGTTGTCGAAGGGTTATAAGCATGGAAGTAGCTCAGTATGATTTCTCTTAAAGTTTACTCTTCTGTATGGAAAATGGTCAGAAAGCTGCTAGAGTGAACTAGGGTGGAACCCTAGTTAATCATCATCATTTGTATTATTGCTGAGAAGAGACAGTAACGACAGAGTCCTCTGGACTCTGCTAGTGGGAGCCCCGGGTCTAGTGAAGAATGAGCAGGGGAGGCCGACAGAGAGACTTGGTTGTTCTTTGCCCTGCAGCTCCCGGCCCGTGGTAGATGTGATCACTCAGATGTCCTTCTCCCCAGCTGAGATCCCAGTGCATGAAGTGGAGTGCTCCTATTCAACCAGTAACAGGAAGAAGAAAGGAGTTAACATCACAGTCTGTTTCCAGGTCAAGCCTCTCATCCCTCAGTTCCAAGGTCAGTGCTGTCCACCTGCTCCCCTGAGCAGCTGCCTGCCCTACATCCAGGCCTGTGGCCTGGGGCCCATCACCACCCCTATTCAACAACCCCCACCCTTTCCATTTTGCCCAGGTCGTCTAGTTGCCAATCTCACTTATACTCTGCAGTTGGATGGCCATCGGACCAGAAGCCGGGGGTTGTTCCCAGGAGGGAGACATGAACTCAGCAGGAACACAGCTGTCACCTCAGACAAGTCCTGTACTGAGCTCTGGTTTCACTTCCCGGTAAGGGAGCCAGTGCTGAGGCTCTGAGAAGGGGGTGGGTGAGTTGACTACCGCGAGGCAAGACTGAGTAGACTCAGCTGTGTCACTGTAGAGCAAGGTGACAAGTCACTTTGAATCTCTGTACTGTTATTTTCTCTGCAACAATAGTAATGACACCTTTAGCATATTTTCTTCTAGTTTTTTGTTTGTTTGTTTTGCTGTTTTTAGAGAAGGGGTCTTACTATGCTGCTCAGGCTGGAGTGCAGTGGCTAGTCACATTCATGGCACATGACAGCCTCAAACTCCTGGGCTCCAGCAATTCTGTTCTACCTCAGCCTCTTGAGTAGGCTGGGCCTCCAGACATCCACCACTGAGCTCAGCTGGTAGTAGTTTTTATCATATTTTAAAATGGTTGTAATTGCAATGTACTGACCATTTTTCCCTACTCTTTTCACATATCATGTATTAATGATGCTACCCAGGTTTATCATCATTATTATATATATTTTTCAGAGATAAGGTCTTGCTCTGATGCCCAGGCTATAGTACAAGGGCCTGATCATAGCTCATGGCAGCCTCCAACTCTTGAGCTCACACGATCCTCTTATGTCAGCCTCCCAAGTAATTGGAATTGCAGGTGCATGCCATGATGCCTGGCTAATTATTTTTTTTTTAGAGACAGGGTCTCACTATGTTGCCCAGGCTTAAACACCTGGCCTCAATAGATCCTCCCTCCTCAGCCTCCTAAAATTCTAGTATTATGGGAAGGAGCCACCATGCCCAGCCTCATAATTATTATTAGCAGTTTTTAAGACAGAGTCTCACTACATCACCCTCAGTGGAGCACCATGGCATTCTAGCTCACAGCAACCTCTAACTCTCAGGTTTCTCTTGGCTCAGCCTCCCAAGTGACTGGGACTACAGGCACCCGCCACAAAGTCCAGCTATTTTTTTTTTTTTTTGCTGGTTTTATATACAATTTGAAATGTTTTCATCAAACTGGTGAACATAGCCTTAATAGCATTTTCTTAGTTATTGTGTTAAGACATTTATATTCTACACCTAGTAAATTTCATATGTATCCTTGTGAGATTCACTGTAGGTGTGTTCCCACCAATTACTCTCCCTCCACCCATCCTCCCCTCTCCTCTCTTCTCTCTCTCCCTCTCCCCTTTCCGCTTCTTCTTTATTTTTTGTTGTTGTAGTTGTCATTGTTGTTTAGCAGGCCCAGGTTGGGTTCAAACCCACCAGTCCCAGTGTATGTGGCCAGAGCCCTAACCACTGAGCTACAGGTGCCGAGCCATCACAATTTTTTTTTAATTTATTGTTGGGGATTCATTGAGGGTACAAGACATCATAATTACTTTTAATGGCTGTAGAATATTAGGCATCATGATATGTCATTAATTGCCAGGTAAATATGGTCATTTATTATTAAAAGCCATCCCAGAAAGAGGTTTGGGGTTTTTTTTTTAATATTAGTTTGAACAACTGCTGAAACAAACACCCAGATTCAATTTGTTTATGGGATTAATATCAAATTATATGCTCTGCTCTTAAATATGTCATAAAAGTCTCAGTATAGGATTGGGGTATATGACTTTGAAGTTTATTTTCATTGTTTTGTTTTTGTTTTTGTTTTTTTGAGTAAGAGTCTCACTCTGTCACCCTGGGTAAAATTTGTGGCATCAAAGTTCATAGCAACCTTGAACTCTTCAGGCTGAAGTGATCCTCTTGCTTCAGTTTTTCATTTTTAGTAAAGACAAGGTCTCACTCACTCTTGCTCTGGCTGGTCTCAAACTCCTGAGTCCGAGCAATCAACCCGCCTGGGCCTCCCAGAGTGCTAGGGTTACAGGCGTGAGCCACCACACCCAGCTAGTTTTAATTGTTCTATTATAGACAATGTGAAATGTGCAAAACTAGAAACAAATGAACCCCCATGTACTTACGCCCCCATTTCGATAATTATCTCTCAATTTCATTTCATTCATACCTCCACGCAGCATTCCTCAACCTTCTACCCACCTGTACAGGACTGACTTAGAACAAAAAAAAAATTTTTTTTTTTTGAGACAAAGTCTCAAGCTATTACCCTGGTTACAGTGCTGTGGCATCACAGATCACAACAACCTTAAACTCATGGGCCTAAGCAATTCTCTTGCCTCAGCCTCCCAAGTAACTGGGACTGTAGGCATCCACCACAATGCCCGGCTATTTTTGTTGTTGTTGCAGCTGTTGTTATTTTAACTAGCCCAGGCTGGTTTTGAACCCAACAGGCTCAGTGTATATGGCTGGCACCCTACTCACTGAGCTACGGGCACTACCAGGACTTAGAAATTTTAAACATAAATATGCCAGAGAAAAAGGCAATGGGCAGAGAAAATTTGTTTGGATTTGGACAGATCTAGGTTCAAATCGTGGCTCTGTCACTCCTAGTTCTAGGCCTCAGGGCAATTGTGTCACCCTTTTTAAGCCTAATTTTCCTCATTTTTATTTATTTTTTACTTAATTTTCCTCTTTTTCAATGTAGGGATAGTAATGCCTACTTCTTAGGGTCAGTGGAAACTTTAGGTAAAAAACATTTGAGTGCCTACAAAGTGCAGTGTCAGGCATTGGAAATAGCAAAAGACTAAGACTCATCCCTGTTCTCCAGGAACGGAATTCTAGAACTAGGATATTTTAGTTATGCTAGAATATTCTTATGCAAACTATGATAATGGCTGCCTAAGACAAAAATTCGGGGTTTCCATTAGGACTCAGAGGGAGAAAGTTCTGTGATTGATTTATGATGTCTGCCATAGAATTGGGGCTGAGGAGTGATACTTGTGCTGAGAAGCACCTTGGGCATGTTACAAATACCTGATGCGAAGTAAATATATTCTCACTGCTGGTAAGGTCGTAGACCACTGACTACTAGAATTTCATAATTTTAAAATACAGACAAGGTATGCATTTAATGAGAAGTGTGGTAAAGGTTAGACTCATGACATAGGTTGTGTTCTTATCACCCTCAGGTATGCATTCAAGACCTTATCTCCCCCATCAATGTCTCCCTGAATTTCTCTCTTTGGGAAGAAGAAGGACCACCAAGGGACCAAAGGACGGTAAGAAGAGATTGGCTAGGGGAATTTATGGGGAATAGGAAGAGTAGAAATTCCATTTAGCAAGAAGTAACTATATTATATAGGAATCTTTATTTATAAACAACAGAAACAAAATATGGCTTACTTAAGCAGGAAGGAATATACAGGAGTTAGAATTTAAGGAAAATTTGAAAAAACAAGTTTGGAAAGGAGAAACAGAGTGGTGGTTCTGGGCTCTCAAAAAGAGCCCCTAAAGGGTAAACAATTTTAGATCCCCTTTGGAGAAGTGCTCCAGGTTCCTTCCATGCAACAGCTCCTACCGCATCAGGCTTCTAACACTGATCAAGGTGCAAATTCCAGGCCTAGCACTATCCCTTATTGGTGGAAGGATAGGGTACCTTCATTAGCTTTCTCACCCACATGTATTCAGTTGAGGGCAGTTAATTCCCTCAAAACCAAATTGTGGTGCTGTTTTTTGTTTAGTTCAGTTTTTTCCCTTTTTTTTTTTTTTTTTTT